CAGTATTTCCATCGCATCTCATACCCATATGTGTATATATTGCCAGAGTATTCTGCAGAAGTAGTCTCAACCAGATCCCGAACTCTCCATCGTGGCAGTGGCGCACATGGCACCGTAGATGCCTGTCGTTGTTCCTCTTCTCCCCCATCCACTTCCGCTCATAGCTATGTTCTCGGCTCAGCGGTGGGTCTCGCACCGCATACATGGACAAACGCCTCGACGGCACTTCCATACAAGCATTGAGCGACCTTGTGAAGCGCGTTTCGGGAGACGAGCGATGGACGGCAACCGAGAGTGATGCCGTGGCTGGCGCTATATTCGACTCCTTCCGCCCTCCGCCGCGCTTAGGTCGGGAACCAGGTAACCAGAGGGCCAGAGGGCAGACATGCATTCCAGATGACCCCCCAGGAGCCAACGAAACTGGCGACGGGTGCACATTCCGCAGATTTTCACGCGGTGCAGGCAGCGCGGCTCTGGCCGCGTTCCCCATCCTCCCTCCAGGAAGCCCACCCCCCCACAAGCCCTGTACCAACACCCTCGGCAATTACCGCCATCGCACGTTGGCAGCACGCATAATAAAGCCCACCATCCCATCACCCTCTACCCCGCCGAAAATGCACCGACAGATCCCGCTCACGAGCCTGGGCTGCGACGCACCGCGGCGGCGGACTCTTCGAACACCCCGACGGTGCCAGGCGCTGGACTGTTCCAGGCCCTAGCAGCTCAACAACAATTGACAAACCATGGTCACCACCAGGCATGTCGCACGAAGCCGCACCAGCCGCTCCAGCGGCGCCAGCCGCTCCAACGGCGACAGCCGCACCAGCCCCACCAGCATCACCAGCCGCACCAGCCCCACCAGCCCCTACAGCCGCTGAAGCGGCGCCGCCGCAGACCGTCGGCAACGATGCGGACAACCAGGACGGCGGCGGCGGCGGTGGTCACCACGACCAGGAGGCGCAGCCGTGCGTGGGCGCTGCGTTGCCCGCGGGCAACCAGGACGGCGGCGACAGACGTCCGCTAGCCGCAGGCTGTTTCGGCGGCCTTGCGGCCACTCAGTGCGACCACCTCGGGCATGCAGTGCTACCACCTGGGGCAGTGCAGCCACCTGGGCATGCAGGACTCCTTCCACGGCCACCCAGTGCGATCAACGCTGGCTACATCATCGCCCCCATCGATGGGGCCATGCAGCAGTACTTCAAGATGGCGGCCGACGGCAACCGCAACATGGCCCGATCGGCTCCTACCCCGACGGGCGAAGTGGCTTGCACTGGCCACGCCAGCTGCCAGGACGGCTACTATGGACCCATGGCCGTGGCCCGCGGGTGCGAAGGCATCATCAGCATGCGCCCGCAGCATGCGCCGATGATTCAGCATGTGCCGATGAACCCGCTCGGCAACAACTTCAGACCGATTCAGACGATGGGCGCACGGATTCCCAACGCATGTGGCTGTCTCGGAGTCCCGAGGCCGATGGCGAGCGGAGTCACTGACGGGGGCATGGTTGTTCCGCAGATGCAGGTGATGAACGAGTTTCCGCAGATGCGCTTCACGGCAAAGCTTTCTGCATCGCCTCTGGTCGCATCGGCCCGTTGTCCGCGGCCGCCCCAAAACCCTCCGCCCGACCACGTCCTGAGGCAGTCGTCCGCTCCCAGCAAGTCTGCGGGGTGGGTTTTGGCGGCTGATGCGGCTGCGGCGAAGGATGCGCCCCAAGTCGTTAAGCCGCCGCAGCATTTACAGCCCCAGGAGAAGGCCCGCCCGATTCGGAACGGCCTGTCCTTTGCCCAGCCTTCCACGCCGTACTAGCCTGCTCATTAGGTGCGCTTGGTGTACCAACCGTCCATATTCTCTGTGCTGTTGGCGAGTAGTCAGGTTTTCCTTTCTGCATGGTCGACGGCCGAGGCTTCAGCGAGCCTCTGAACAAACAACATGTGGATTACAGCGCTCCCACACAGGCGGGGCGATGAGGGCCCTCAAGCACCAATGTCGGAACGTCGTTGGTCCCAGGACGGCCCCGAAGCCCCCGAGGCGGTTCCAATACCGTCGAGAACCCAAAGACGGCTCAAGAGGCCTCCAAGACGCCCAAGCTGGCCTCCAGGACGGCCAAGATGCCCCCAAGAGAGCCCAAGATGGCCCCACGATGCTTCCATGCATTCTAAGGTTGCGCGTTCCCCCATCTATGCTTGCACTGAAGGGGCCCCCCTGGGACATGCAGTGATTTGGCGCAGGCGTCGGTGGACAGCTTTCGGATGGCGGCCAGCTTCGGACCTCCGCGGGAGCGGCGGCTTCTGGAGGGCCCCGCGAGCGCCCCGAGAGCGCCCTCCCCCTCGCACCCCAACATTTGATTCAACGCGAACCCCCTACTGCAACACTCGGCGGTGCCCCTGGCCAATGCGCCTCGCTGGGTGGCTTTCTTCGCCCCGCCACCCCTGCAGTGATTCCAGATGGCCAGCGGGCGCCCCTCCCTCGAAGCCCCCCCCCCCTATCTCCTCCGCCCATTCCCCCCTCGACGGATGCTGCAGAGGGGTGTGCGTCGTAGTTCCAGTGCCTTGGGGCCTCCTCGGGGCTATCGGAGGAACGCTGCGCCATGGCCAACGCCACAAGTGAATGAAACACATCTATATACATACGTGCCTCCAACTCTGATGGTATACATGTATATACGCATATATATATATATATATATATACGTAGATGTATATGCGCACACATGTATATATGTAGACAACACATGTAAGTATGATGATTACTGTCACGCGCCTACTACAAACCAACAACTCGCCCAAGGCTGCTGGGCACCAACGTAGAAGCAGCTGGCTTGCAGGCAGTAGGTGCATACATGGTTTCAAAGTCAGCAGCTGCAACACAGTAGCCTAGCACATGTCATAGCAATGTTGCCCAAGTCCCCGTCCTGCTACCAATACTGCTCGTTGCCCATGCTGCCTTCGGCAAGTCCCGCCACCGTGCCTGGGTGGTGAGTCAGAGTACTCATGGATGTTTCTGGGGTCTCTTCGAATGGCTCCCGGGATGCTCTGGGGAGCAGTTTTGAAGCCGGTGGGGGGGGTCGCTTGGGGGACCTTGGGGCCTGTTGGGGGTCTCGTGGGCCTCTTGGGGGCTCGTTGGGTGGCTCTCGGGGCTTCTTGGGGGACCTCCTGGGGGTCTTCTGGGGGCCTCTGGGGGCGGAAAGCTCGAAATGTCAATTCGGGCCTCCCGTCTGGGCGCTCTCTTGGAGCCGTCTTGGGGGCCTCTTGGGCCGTCTCGGAGGCCCCTTGGGCCGTCTTGGGCCCTCTTGGGTAGTCTTAGGGTCTTCTTGGAAGCGGCTTGGGCATTCCTTGGGGCGACCTTGGAGGTGTCTTGGGTTGTTCTGGAGCGTCGGTAAGCCGAAGAGACGAGAACCACCCAAATCCTTCAACCACGAACGGAAAATCGATGAATGGTGCTTCTTGGGGCGCTCTTGGGAGGCTTCTTGGATGCCTCTTGGGGCGGCGTGGCGGGTTCTTGGGCCGTAGTGGGGCCAGCTCGGGGGCTCATCGGCGCTCTTGGGTTGTCTGGGGGGGCGTCTCGGCGGTCGGGGTGGGCTTCCCGTGCCGTCGCGGAGGCTTTGGAGAGCTCCAGGGGGGCGCCATGTCCGCCCAGGCACCCTCCAGGAGTAGGGGTGGTGCAGTCCCCTGCCTGCGAGGGAAGGATGGGGGGGGGGGCCTTAAAAGACTACAGAAGCCATGCCAAACAATCCTTGGCATGCTTCCACGCCTTACGTCGTGCCAAGGCACGGTGGCGGACTGGCCACGGGCGGACGTACTGGCGCCGATCTATTGGCCGTGGAGGCGGCCGAGGGCGGCTCAGCAGACAGTGACGAAGACGACGCTGGCGAGGACGTTACCCCTGGCGACTCCGTCAGCCAGATCGGGGGCCGTGGAAAGCATCCCGCCAGCCGTCTTCGCGCAGGGCGCGGGCGCGGGCAAGGGTCTGCCGACCAGCTCTTTGCGCAAAGGAGCCGCGCTGCCAGTTCAAGGGCCGTTCCTGCTGGCGCCCGCGGCAGACAGATCAAGCATGTTGCTGCTGCTAAAGGTGCGAAGCGGAGAGCTTCCACAGGGACGGTCGTATCAGGCGCGCCCACATCAGCCGCTGCGAAGCGCCGCTCCTCTGGCAGCTGCGCGGTATGCGAGAAGACCGCCAAGGACTGCCATGGGGTCGATGATCAGACGCACTCCCACCCTGACGGCACTGCGATCCCCGCGTGCTCCAACTGCGCGGCCTGGGCAGAGAAGTCCTTGCCAGGCGTGCCCATGGGCGTGGTCGTCACTGTCGGTGCGGAGGTCCACGAACAGCTCCAGCTCCAAGCAGTCCAATGACATCGAGGTTGCCACCGAGGAGGAGCAGCGCGTGCACGTGCGGTATCGCTACAAGCTGTTGACGAAAAAGCAGGTGGTCAGCAGGTCTCGTGGGCGTGAGAGCGCAATCCAACCCAATCCACCATTGCTCGGAGGAAGATGAGGGAGGAGGAAGGAGAAGGCGGGGGGCGAGGGGAAGGGGGAAGATGGGGGAGGAAGCATGGGGATGCGGGGGGGGGGGGGGGGGGGGGGGGAGGAAGTAGACGAAGAAGGGGCTGGAGGAGGAAACCGAGGAGATGAAGGGGTGATGGGGGATAGCTGGGCATAATGAGGCTGAGTAAGGGGAGGGGGAGGGAGATGGGGGGGCGTTCGAGGAGGTGCTGGACGACGACGACGACGACGAGAGGAAGGACGAGGAAGAGGAGGAGCGGGGGGGGCGAGGCGGACGAGGGGGCGGGGGCGAAGGGGATGGAGAAGATCAGGAGGAGGAGGAGAAGCTGGAGGAGAAGGGGGACGAAGGGGGTTGGGTTAGGTGGTGCCCAGGAGGAGGCGGAGGAGATAGGCGGCGGGGGAGGAGCGAAAGAAGATGGAGACGAGGAGAGGATGAATGGGGGATGAAGGAGAAGGGGGGCCCATCCGATCCGCAGGTTCAAGCGCGCGCCGCGCCAGATCGGCCTCAAGCTCGTGCGTCTCAAGAAGAAGGGCTCCACTAAGACCCAGGACTATTACATCTCCCGCTTCCGCAAGCACGTGGTCCCAGTCTTGGACGTCGTCAGGAGCTTCGGCATCAAGTCGGCCACCAAGGTGCTCAACGGGAAGAAGAGCTTCGAGGCACAAGGAGACGTCATGTTTGATCATTTGGCAACGGACCTCTTGAAAAGCTGCGACCTCTTCAACCTCCAGGCCGTGCAAACGGTTGAGGACCTAGTCGAGAATGCGACTGCCGAGATGCCGCCAGATGAGTTGCCTGAAGGCGAGATGGGTGAGAAGGGGGGCTCAGACTCTGACGCGGCCCCGGGCGCCCCAGAGGGCAGCGGCCTGGGGCTGACCGTTCCAGGCTCGAACAGGAAGTCCGACGCTGCCAGTGGAATGGCTCGCCAGGGCGCCGTCGAGAGTCGAGTCGAGAGCCTCGTCGACGAGAACGTGTTCATCGGGGCCGCGCCGCCGAAAGGGGCAGCCGACTACTGGATATGGAAGTCGCCGCTCGGGGCCATCGCCGAGAATACCATTGCCATTGGCAGCCAGGAAAAACAGATCGACATTTTGCTGCCCAAGCTCGACGATAACGACAGGAACCGTTTGAAGACCCACAAATTGCACATGCACCGTGCGAAGCAGTTCAGGGAGGGCAACGTCCAGAGCTCATCTGCCATGGAATTGAAGGTTGAAGCCGACAAGTTACAGAAGGCAGGCATCCAGTGGATGAAGATGACGCTCATTCGCTTGTGCGTGGCCCACGCGGACGTCGATCTCACTGACTTCACGAACCATGACCTCCCAGTGGCTCAAAGAACGGCCAGCCTCCAGAAGGCGCTCCAGAGGCTGCAGCTTCACCGCGGCCCCGAGGAGATCGGGGATTTCCAGATCACGGACCCTTTGATGCGTCGGCTCCCAATTTCCGACGCAGCGGCCGCGTCGACTTTCCAGGCGACATTCTTCAAGGGCCATCTGTGTTCTTGGACCGGACAAGGCGAGGCGGGTGCCCAGAACATCGTACTCTTCAGGGACGCGTTCAACTTAGTGAACGCCATCGGCGCTGAAGCTGATATTGGTTCGGCGTCTGGCGTTCATCTCTGAAGGCAACCTCCAGGACGCGTTCAAGGACGAGACTATGGATGACGTTGTAGAGCTGGATTTGGCGAGCGAGAGGTCGGCATGCAGTCCGACCTTGTGGGAGTTGGTTGGCCACGCAATCAAATCCAGCGTCGATTGGAGCCGAAAGCTGGAGGACGTCAAGGCCAACGTGGAGAACTTGAAGAAGGTTGCGCCTATAGTCGCTGCGGCTTCCACTGCCATGAGCGCAATGGGCAGCCCAACCGTCGAGGCCGCGGAGCAGCTCTACGGGCGCGCAAAGGACCTCCCAGACATTCACGCCAAGGCGAAGGGCGCGGCCGACAGCTTCGAGATCACCCTCAAGACCAAGGCCACTACTCTAATCAGTAAGCTCGTGGACGGCGCCCCAGTCGATGACGTCGGTTCCGTGCCAGATGGGGGTATGAACGATACGATGGCGACCTTGGAGGCCTTCCTGAGTTCTCTAAGCAGCTCATAGAATGTTGCATCGACGTTAGCAGCATCACGCCTCTGCAGAAGAAGTTGGACACCGTTCTCACGGCGTTCCAGTCTCACAGGCACCAGGCAGGCGTCAGCGAGAATATGAAGTCCTACACCCTGGGGGACGAGAACGATGCCAAGGAGCTTTCGAAGTTGTTGATCTCGTTTGACGTTTCAAAGCTTGATAAGGTAGGGCGCGAGGCAGCGCTGGCCCTGTTCATGCGCATCATCGCCCAGGCGCCTTGCACCGACTTCAAGGTGAAAGATATCGAGTTCGAAATGGAGCTGCTCCGGGCACCACGGGCAACAACAATGCCCACAGATGTATCGAGCCGCCGCCCCTCCAGACGGCTCGTAAGGGGGGAAACAAGGAGTTGCGCTGGCTCTTTCGCGGTCAGCTCTGGGATGCTATGCTATTCAACAGATATTGGTCCTCCCTCTACCCTTCCGCCTTCTCCTGGGTTGGGTTGCGAGGCCCAGTATCGTTGGGCATCGCTGCTCCTTGTCTCCGTCTCCCCGCTACCGCCCAGGCAATGGTCTCTGCAGTGCCCGCGGCGCGCACGAAGGACTGCAGCATCGTCTCCCAAATCATCTCTTGCGCGTCGAAGTCCTTGGCGATTGTTGGGTTGCTGGGTGAGCAGCTGCAGAGCATCGCCGAGGACGCCTCTGTGCCAGACGAGAGCGCTGTGGTTCAGCGCCTGGTCGAGCTGGATCGCGAGCTGCTTCTTTCCAATCCGCTGATCAACAAGGCCGTGGATGATGACATGAGCGCTTTGTTCGATAAGGCGAAGTTTGCGTTGAAGGATGCCAGGGCCCAGCGCCAGCAGGTGAGCCAGCGTTTGTGCCACGGCGCCCTGGCCGTCTACGCAGATGCCCAGGACAAGCTGATCAATTCCGTTGACAAGGAGTCGTCGTGGCAGGAGTTCGTCGCAGCGGCGAACGACGGCGGCAAGTCGTGGGAGGACGTGCGCCGCGTCGCTGGCGACGCTATCAGCAAGTGGGCCGACCTCGACATCATCGAGAGCAGCTACTTGAACCTGAAGCTGGACCGAGGGACATGGAAAGGAGGATAATGAGAATGATGATGGGGGGGAGGAGGGGAAGGAGAAGGAGGAAGAGGGTGGGGTGGCTACTGTCTCAAGTCTTCTCGCCTCCATATCGATGCGAGGTGGCTTGAGTCTCTTCGTCCTCTCATCGCATGTCGCGTTGTCCTCTTGCCCTTGCGGCCTCGTAGGACCAGACCCACTTCGAAAACAGGTTCCAGACGCTCAAGGTCAAGGTCGACAAGAAGAGCCTCGCGCTGAAGGAGGGCATCAAGACTGTCGAGTCCGCGGTGGCCACGCGGAAGATCTTGACCGTCATCCAGGATCCGAGCTCCAAGGACGCAGTGTGGAAACGTGAGCAGATGGTGCTGGTCCGCTCCTGGCTCAAGAACTCGAGGATTGCGCCTGCCGTCCTGCGCCCGCGCGTGAAGCTGGCGTGCGACGACTCGCTCACGATTTAGGCCCTAGGCCAGTTACCCAGCATGCTGCCAGCACTGAGGAGGGGGGGTGGAGGAGGAGGAGGGGGCGGAAGAGAACGGGGAGGCGGAGGGGAGTGATGATGAGAGGGGGTCGCAGGACAAGGGGGGTGGAGGAGTTAAGAGGAGGAGCTGGACGGGGGATCGCATCGGGCGGACAGGTGGAGGAGGACGAGGACAGAGGGGGGAGGCCAGGAGGAGAGACACACATTAGCAAACGGGGCGGCGGGAGGGGCAGCCATGGGGGAGGAGGATGAGAACGAGAGGAGGCGGATGGGGAGCAGGAGGAGGAGGATGAAGAAGAAGAAGAATCCAGTCAATGCTTGCCATCGCCTAGCGCGGAGATGGCGCCGTGTTTTGCAGCGGCGCAGGGGGGGCCTCAATCCGCCATCCCCTGTCCAGCCCCTCTCCCCTCATGCCTCCTCCATCCTTCTGCCGCCCCCCCCCCCCGCCCCCTTCCGCCGCGACCCCGAGCGCCGCGCGCATCGCAGCCCAAGCGCACTGTTTAAACGACCTTCGGCCCAACCCGCCTTTCTGGGTCGTGGGCGCCTCGAGGGTCTCGCGGGAGGCCGCCTAGGCAACCTCGGGCGCTCTCGAGCCGCCTTGGCCCGCCTCGGACCCGACAGTGCGACGGCGCGAAAACCGCCCTAAGTGTTTCGCATATCAGCGCAACGCGGCCTCAGGACCACCCCCCCAATGGAGATCTGCTTGGAGCCATCTTGGGCCACGCGAGGTTCCCCCATTTTCGTCCCATTGGCAAGGGAAGGGGGGGTGGATGACGGCCAGGGGAAAAAGGGGAATGGGGGATAGGCGAGGGGGTCGGAGGAGGGCACTGAGAAGGAACTGGGGAGAATAAGAATGAGGAAGAGGAGGAGGGAGGGACGGAGGAAACGGAGGACACGGAGGATGCGGAAGAGACGGGGGGGAGGAAGATGGGGGATAATGAGAAGAATGAGGAACGGGAAGCGAAAGGCTGGGGGAAGGGAAGAGGATGGTTCGGAGAGGGGGTTGGGCGAACGGGCGGCGGGGGAGGAGGGGTGCGGGCGGAGTAACATGCACCGGAGGGTCTGGGAGGGATGCGGGGCGCGGAGAAGAGCAGGCTGCGCGTGCCCGATACATGCATGCTCATGATGTGCGCGTGTTTGATTTTTGGTTCCTTGTTTTTTGTTACATCCAACATGCATTTACAATACTTTTTGCTCGACTTCGGAAACTTGGCCCAAACGTATTTTTTGGATAGTTTCCTGCGAGCTGGGCACTTTCCAGAGCTAGCGGACCGCCGACGTCATAACGCCAGGGTCCAGGATCCGTATCCCTCAGGACCCCTATGCTGAGTGGGGAGGGGGGGCCTGGCGCCGATCCAAGCAATCCACCGAGGCTTCCGCGGAAGGTTCCGCGAGGCTTCCGCAGAGGCCTCCGCGGAGGCATCCGGCACTGGCCGCGGCCTGCAAGAGCATCGCGCGCCACGCCCTTTCGCTGGCACCCGGGCGGGGCGGGGCGGGGGCAGAGCGAGCGGGGATCTGCGGGCGGGGACATTCATACGGGGCCCAAAGGTATACACCACCACCGCTTCCCTCACCCCTTCCCTCGCCCAGGAAAGAGGAAAGGAAGACGAGGGTGGAGGAGGGGTGGTTGCCGGGCGAAACACGGCATAACATAATTTGTTCCGTCACCGGGGGCGCTGGCCCAGGGCGGCTGGAAGGTTTAAATTCTTGACGCTTCGCGCATCCCCACCAGGAGACCCGTGCAACCCTTGGTATCCCACGACGGCGCCCGCTCACTGCCCTCTCCGGGGCGACGACTGCACGTGCAATAGCCCGGGAGGCACGAGAATCGAACCAAACCGCGCGAGGTCGCCCCAGATGTGCATCCGCGGGGCTAGACAGGCAGGCGTCCGAGGGCCTGTCGTAGGCGGAGGGGCTAACGCGCTGGCAAAGTCCTCCGTCGGGTCACTGCCTGCCGCGCCTGGGCAGCTCACAGCATCCTCGGGCCTTCCTTTGCCCCCGCCCCCGCCGCCCCATCCTCCGACCGCTTGGGGGCAGCCTAACCAGCAGCGAGCAGTGAGATTGGCAACCGAAGAAGAGGCATTACAGCCAGACCCTTCGGATCGGCAGCTGGACGAGTCGCTGGCAGTCCAAGCGGCCGCCGAGGTACGCAGTCTTTACTCCTTGCCCGCGGATTCACCACACTCGCGAGTCCACCCCAAGGCGGCGCTGGGGGATCTGCCCGATGCCGTCCGGCTCCCCTCACAGTGCATGGCCTTACAATCTCCAAGATCGTGGGCAGACACTTCGGATAATCGCCTGGGTAGAAAGCCAAGCGTCAGTCGAGACGGTGGACAACAGGAAAGAGGCCACGCGCGAAGACCTGGCCAGGAAAGGCAACTGTGCTCTCGACGTCCGCGTCACCAAGATCGACGGCAACACGCGCCTGGACGACCTGGACACCTTCCAGTTGCGAAACGCGCTGGACCTCCCAGAGGGTAAGGAGCTCTACCTGTTGGAGTGGCCCTCCAGGTACAGGGTTGCGTCCAGAACCCAGGAGGGAGACAAAGAAGGCAAGGATCTGTACATCTCCGTCACCGGCCCCACAGTGGACAAGATTGCGGACGTCACGATCTGGCGGCCACCCTCCCTGGGCGGCGCCATCCACCCAAAAGACGCAAGAGTGCTCGGCATCAACCCGGCCACCAGGTACCCCTCGGACAGGTGCATCGTGCAGTGCAACAGCGGGAAGCGGGGGCCATTCCATGGAGATGAAACCAAGGCGGCACGGCCCCCAAGTGACGACGTTCCCTGGTACAGAGTGGACGAGGCCCCCTCCGACGCCCAGTACTGGCGCCAGTGTTGGGCTCTTGACCAGATTTACTACCTCCGGCAGAATGCGGCGGATCTGTTTGCTCGCGCACTGTCACCCCTGACGTTCCTCTCGGCCTTCCTGCGCGCTCCCCGGGCCGACCGACGCGCGGCGAACGACCTCCAGCTTGCCAGCGCAGTCGGCTCGAATCTGCGGGCCAGAGCCGCCGCTGCACTTGAGATGGACGTCCCCGACGCTGACCTCACCCAGGCTGTCCGGTGTGGCCTTCTACAGCAGGTACCGCCGCTTCCCTTGGGTTTGAAGGCGTTCTCGGACGACGAACTCTCAGACTCGACGGGGTCGGTTTTCCAGAGGTTGCGAACCACACCTAGCCAGACGACCTGTAACGAAAGGGTGGACAAGCACAAGCCAAACAACGACGCGATCAGAGCCCTTCAGGCCACCCTGCGTCACCATGCCGTACTGGTGCACGGACCCCCTGGGACAGGCAAGACCACCTTCTCCGTCGCCTGCCTGGACATGTGGGGATGCTGCCTACGTTCGGGCCAAGCAGTCGCGCTGGCAGCCGGTTCGAACACTGCGGTCGACCAGCCCGCCCTGGCAATGTCTGAAGCACATCAACGGCTCCGTCTCGATCCCGACACGGGGCCCCCTGGGAGATTCGCGCGCCCGGCGAGGAAGGAACGCGTCGACGAGGAGCTTGTGGGCCTGACCCCAGAGGGCCACTACAAGAACGCCTACGGAGACTTCCCGTTTCAGGATGGGGACAAGAGCTCTGACATCAAGCCCTTCAAGGCCAACCTGCTCCGGGATGCCATGGTGATCATGTCCACGCATATGAGGCAGCCGAAGCCCTCGGACAGAAGGACAGCCCGCACATTGTCCTCAGTCTTGCAAGACCCGCTCGCTCTTGGTGGTCATGATGCTAATGCTCCGCGAGCCGCGCGTGCCCTTGTGGTTTTTCCCTCACGCCGAACAGGCTGGGGACGTGATTGAAGCCATCCTGGGTTTCTGTGTCCCGTGGCAGGAATCGCATCGAGGGTTCCGGCAGGACTTCGCGAGCACCTGGGGCCTCACGCTGGAGGATCTGGCCGATCTTCACGGCCGCATCGAGGCAATCCTGCCCCGCATCTCCAAGCTCGTAGCGGTGGCGCACCACCGCCCCGACGCGCAGGCAGCTGGCTGCCCGCAGACCTGGAGTGAGATGGACAGGCACGACTTCCAGCTGAAGGCCCCGATGCTCGTCCTCGAGAAGATCGTCCCAGCCGCCTCACGGACCCCCCTGGGTACGCACCACTGCTCCGTGTGCGCGCTTCACATCGCGCTCGCGGGCTCAGACGCCTCCCTGGGTGACGACGACCGGGGTGCTGGGCTCGCCTACATCGGCGGCGGATTCGCGCTTTCCAACACCGATCTGAACGCCCCCATGCCGTCCGCCCCTGCTCCAGGCACCAAGCAGGACCCCCGCGCATCCCCGACGACAGGCTGTTGGCTGAGCAGAAGCATGGCAGGTTCAAGTGCGACAGATGCGGCAAGGATCAGCTACGCTCAACAGACGGCTCATGGATCTCGGACGATACACGCCTGATGGTAGCGCCGAACCGGCCCCAGGCCTACCTCGACGGTACAAACATGGGATGGCACTGCGAGATCTGCTGGACTCGA